ACACCACTTCTTCGAAATAGACTCGCCCAGGCTGAAAACTGATTTCTGCGCGTGGGCCACAAAGTTTCAATTGCACTGTACGTGTGCCCGCACGTGGTATTTTGTGGGAGAGCCACATTCAAGGGGCCAAAGAGCCGCATGTGACTCGCAAGCCACAGTTTGCCGACCACTGCCATACACCAAAAGGTTGTGGGGTCTGTCCCTGGTCAGTGCATGTGCAAGAGGCAACTGATCGATGTTTCTCTACCACAGTCTCTCTCTAAAAATCAATTAAAAAAACAACATATCCTCAAGTGAGGATAAAAAAAATTTTTTTTTTAAATCCAAGAAAGGAATCTGGCCAATTCTGGCAGAAACTCACAGCACGGCTATTCCCACTCGGGTCTGACTGGAAAGCCTGTTTTCTCTCCACTCCATCGCAGTGATCCCCCAAGAGGGAGTGAGTGGGCTTCTTGAAGTTCCAAGTCAAACTTTTGTCTCCAAGTGGGAAGTGCCACCTGATGACACGCAGATGAACTGTCCCAGTGCCAAAGAGCCAGTGGATTGATGTTCTAGTTCCTATTTTAGCTCGTTCCAGGGCTCATGGAGTGTGATTGTGCAGCATCAAGTGACTTGTGCCCTAGTGTGAGGTGGAATTGTAGCTTTTATGCAGTTCTTTATAAAATATAAATATATATAAAATAATCAATAATATATATGTGTATACACACACACATATATATACATATATCGATATATATATTGATTTCAGAGAGGAAGAGAGAGAGAGAAACATCAATGATGAGAGAAAATAATTGATTGCTGCCTACTGCACACCCACTACCGAGGATTGACCCCGCAACCTGGGCATGTGCCCTGCCTAGAAATCGAACTGTGTCCTGGTTCATAGATCAACGTTGCCAGACTTCAAGCAGTTTATGTAGTTCCTGCATGACCATGAAATGCTTCCACCTGACACCTATCTTCTGCCAGGTGAGAGCTATGCAACCCGGAGGTGGTCACGGCACTTTTGATCTTCACGGTGCCCTCCTTCTGTTATGTTGGCCCACGCTCACAAAGGTGGGAGGTAGGGTGTGCTAGACTGAAACAGCGGAGAGAGGAGGACACTGAGGCTATCCTCCCAATGGTGCTGGACTAAATTCTTTCCAGCTGCTTTAGCGAAAATGGGCTTTGCCTTAGAGGCTGGCTTTTCTTTGACACGATCTTGATGGAACAAAATAGGAGAGAACTCACATGTCACGCTCTGTCTACAATGGCCCCTATTAGAGAGACTATAGACCTGGCAGCACATTTGATGCTGTAGAGATTTCAGAGCCAAAGCACAGCTGACCCGCCATGCCTGCAGTGAAATTTTATGACTAGCACCACTGTTTTCACTTCTGTATAACCCGTAGGAAAGATGATCTAATGATTAAACCAACAATGAACTTGGTCATCAGTTTAAACGCTTCAATCCTGGCCCCTGCCCTATATTTAAGCCCTGTGAAGAGAAGAAGGGAAAAAGTACAAAGCCTCATGGAAGTAACAGTTGCCTATTTTAATGTTGGCAGCGTATAAGTGACAATTATGCTGTTAATTGATAGCTATTTTCATGAGTTGTCATCCATGTAGATCATCCAGATTAGCAATGTTGCTTTTGCATTGTGATTAAACCACCGAGTAGTTGCATAAAAACTGCTGTGTTCTATGGTCGGTGCATTCTAACTATTCAGAGGCGAGAAGGGACAAGCCCCTGTAAAGATAGTGACTTTAAAAGAGGCCAGGAGATGCAAAGTCTTGTTAAAATGTTAAATGCCGTGTTTAACTAAAGAAGTTTCTTTCTGTGTAAGCAAAGTACTGATTGGATAGAAGGCTGTAAAAGAGGGAGAGATAGTTAGCAGAATGGTTACCAAGCAAACCGAGGGAAATAGTAGCCCTGCTTAGAATGAGGCTAATAGAACCCATATCTGTCCCTGGAACTATCTCTCTCTCTCTCTCTCTCTCTCTCTCTCTCTCTCTCTCTCTCTCTCTGAGATTCAGAGCTGGTTTCTTTTTAGGGTTAGAGATCAGACCAAGTACAACCCCAAAGAAGTCTATCCTAAAAAAATTTGAATAAATTCACAGCCCAAGACTGAATAGTAATTGTTAATGCTATATCTAAAAATAACCTCTACCTCTTACTTAAGTTTTCTGTGGCTTTCCAATTTTGCAAGAACAGATTGAATTTCGAAGTTTTTCTACTGTAGCCATTTGATTAGTAGCATAAAAACTGATATCAAACTCTGCGGGAGCAGCTCAAGGCCCAACGGGCCTCTCCAACCTCAAGGGGCCATCTTGGCCACCAAGTATCAGCTGCACAAATCTTGGGTGGACTGCCTGCTGAAACTAAACAGAGTTAGAAGCTCTGAGTTATACCTTCGTTTCTGCATGAATTTGGACAAAAAGCATTCATGTTATTAAGTTTCTCTTTATTTCCTCTTAAATTAAGTCAAGCCTGGGAATAACTCTTAATAAATTGGTACAATATTCCTTTCTTATCAACTCTATTTATACCTTTAAAAATTCACCTTTTTGTGGTCATCCCGATCGATGCCTCTCAATTATGGGCACTACTGCCCCACTGGTTGGCACAGGGGCTTGAGTAGGTTTAACACGCCCCAAATTATTTCCTTTCTCCTGAAAACTGCACTCCATGGAAACCTTTGGAAAACCACCCCTTGTATACACTGTTCCCCATGGGTTGAGTAGGACAGTCACCGCCTCCCAGGCTCAGGGGTGGGCACATCTCTTGGGCATGACCAGCCAAGTAGTTCCATTCCTCTGGCCACAGTAAATGGATCAAGGGTGATCATTGAACCCCATCAGTCCAGTAAGAACCCATCGTGGAACTTTATCTGGAACTCCCAGAAAAGAAAAAGAAACATTTTCATTAAGAGTTATTAGGAGAGCCGAAACCGGTTTGGCTCAGTGGATAGAGAGTCAGCCTGTGGACTGAAAGGTCCCAGGTTCAATTCTGGTCAAGGGCATGTACCTTGGCTGCAGACACTTGATTTGTGAGGGTTGTGCAGGAGGCAGCTGATCGATATTTCTAACTATCTCTCTCCCTTCCTCTCTGTAAAGAATCAATAAAATATTTAACAAAAAAAAAAAAAGGAGTTATTAGGAGAATATAAACTCAAAGACACAGGGCCACCACATGGAGAGAACCTGACTGAGAGGGGCTTGCAAAAAGCAACGTAGAGTCAAAATAGAAGGGGTGGTCCTTCAGGGGGGGCAGAGCTTAACAACTTGGTGACTATGTTTTTTACTGGAATTGAGCAAATAGGCAAACATATTGTAGAATTTTTTTTTTTTTAAAGGCAAGTTTCTTGCTGTCAGAAAAAGAACTTAAAAATAAGGGAAGAGGGGAAGTTAACTGAACAGTCCTGAGATTTTGATTTGGAATTGGAGGTACTAGTATAAATTCATGTTTTGTTTTAATATATAGACAGACAGAGAAATATAGATGTTTGTGTGTGCATGGATTAGGATACTTCCTAGCCTTGTCTTCTGAGGAGGCCTGGATGCAACAGCACCCCAATAGTAATGAGCACACCCACCACCCAGCTCTTAGATTCTAATTATCATTCTCCAAGAAAAGGAACCAGGGCTCCTTGGAGAAGCAATTGATTTCATAGCTGAGGTAGAGAAAACGTGAGTCTGTAGTAGCTCATGGTGCTAAACAGCAGAGGAAGGTCCATAAAGGATGGAGGCAAATCAGAGGGCATGAAAGAACTCCCCTGGGCTAACACTGGACCAATATGAGCAAGAAGGTAAATAATGAGAGTCCTGGATTATAACCTTAGAATTAAAGCAATCCATAAGTCCATAATTATACCAATAAATAATTGAATTAAAAAGTGGAGAAGGGACAGCTCTTTCTTACAGAAAAATTTCAATCAATAATGTAGATGAAGAAAGGGAAATTGAAAATTACTATTAGAATAATTGATCTCACTCATATGTGGAATCTAAAGAACAAAATAAGCTGATGAACAAAATAGATCCAGAGACATAGAAACATGGAAAAGACGGAGGAATCTCAGAGGGAAGGTGGGGGAGTTGAGTGGGTGAGAAGTGATTAACCCAATAACTTATCTATAATAATAAAAGTGTAATATGCTAATTAGACCAGACAGCCTTCCAGACGAAGCCGGGGCTGGGAGGGCCGAGCCCCTTGCATGAATTTCGTGCATTGGGTCTCTAGTATACATATATGCATAACCCATTGTCACAAATAGTATGGTGAAGGCTTAGGGAGGGGGGAGAGAATGAGCTAGAAGGGGTCAATGGGGGTAAAGGGGCATATCTGTATAACTTTCAATAATAAAAGTAAAGTTTTTAAAGGAATAATATAATTACCCTGTTTCCCCGAAAATAGGACAGTGTCTTATATTAATTTTTGCTCCCAAAGATGCGCTAGGTCTTATTTTCAGGGGATGTCTTATTTTTCCATGAAGAAGAATATGGTACATTTATTGTTAAATGAAAATAAAGGAAATTTATTACCTGTGTACGGTATGGTAGTACGATACTTGTCAACACAAACCAGACAAACTGTGAATCCTACAGTACCAAGAATTTACTCATTTATTCAATGACAATCATGTCATCATCTTCTGGAACATCATCATAACAATCCAGTTCCTGAATTTCCTGGTGAATTTCTTGTGACTCCATTTCTTTCAGAATCAGTGGACCAAATCTCTCATGTTTAGCCTACGGGGGCCTTATTTTCGGGGGATGCCTTATATTTCACTCAGAAGGAAACCTGTAAGTAGGTCTTATTTTCGGAGGATGTCTTATTTTTGGGGAAACATGATATTACTATTGCAGGCAATATTCACCAATGGTTTCTAAAATTGGAGGGCATTTTGGTCCCTGCTGGCAGTGCCCTGGCTTTCTGGTAGCGGCTGAGAGCTGGTGGGCGGGGAGCTGGTGGCCTCGGCCTTCGGGGCTGGAATTTGCCGCACTCTCGGCGGAGGCAGGGGAGCCGGGCCGGAGCCATGGCCAGGGCAGTGGTAGCAGTTGGATTGACCATTGCTGCTGCGGGATGTGCAGGCCATTATGTTTTGCAAGCCATAAAGCATATGGAGCCTCAAGTAAAACAAGTTTTTCAAAGTCTACCAAAATCTGCCTTCAGTGGTGGCTATTACAGAGGTGGGTTTGAACCTGAAATGACAAAACAAGAAGCAGCATTAGTATCAGGTGTTAGCCCTACTGCCAATAAAGGGAAAATAAGAGATGCTCACCGAAGAATTACGCTGTTAAATCACCCAGACAAGGGAGGATCTCCTTATATAGCAGTCAAAATCAATGAAGCTAAAGATTTACTAGATGGTCAAGCTAAAAAATGAAGTAAATGTATGGTGAATTTTAAGTTATTAATCATGTATATGAAAACATCTTTTTGTAATAAAAGAAGCTAAAATAAAATAAAATAAGTGGGCAAAAGTTTGAGGAGAAAAAGAAATTTGCATAGTATCAAAGTATCTCTCCCCCCCCTCCCATATATCTATTAATTATAAAGGGAGATATAAGACCTTTTCATTGAAGAAAGTCACTAGATAACACTTCAGATAGACATTACCAGAACATGACATCTGACATCATATGGTAAACTGAAAAGAGAATGTCATTTTTGAGGTATTCTTATCACAAATGTATGACCTCAGTCTAATCATGAGAAAACATCAGACAAACCCAAATTGAAGGATGGTCTACAAAATAATTGACCAGTATTCTTTAAAAGGGTCAAGGTCATGAGAGACACACACACACAAAAAAAAAAAAAAATTTAAGAAAATGTCACAGAATCGAGCAGCAATGACATCTAAATGAGATGTGAGATCCTTGATTGGATGCGAGGACAAACTTTGGTGGAAAAATTGGTGAAATTCAAATAAAGTCCTTAGTTTGTTTGTATTGTCCCAATATAATTTCTTAGTTTTGATCATTGTGCTATTGGCATCCAAGATATTAATGTTAGTGGAGGTTGGGTAAGGGACTTGTTCCACTATTACCATTTTTGCAACTTTTCTATAAGTTTAAAGTTATTTCAAAACAATTTGTCAAAAACTGTAGAGGGTACTATGGTACATCTATACAATGGAATACTATGCTGCCATAAAAAAGAAGGAATTCTCATCATTTGCAGCAACCTGGATAGAACTAGAGAACATCATGCTGAGTGAAATAAGCCAGTCAATGAAAGCAAAACACCACATGACCTCACTCATTTATGGATAATAAAGAACATTATAAACTGATGAACCAGAAGACAGATATAAAGACAGTAAAGCAACAAGCAGACTGTCAAATTACAGAAGGGAGGGTAGGGATATCTGGGGGAGATAAGAGATCAACCGAAGGACTTGTATGCATGCATATAAGTACAACCAATGGACACAAAACTCTGGGGAGGGAGGGTATGTATGGGGGGGGCAATGTTAAAATATGTACACAGATAATAATTTAATAAAAATTAAAAATAAAAAAAATAATTTTAAAAAACTGTAGAGGGTAAAAATAGAGGGTCGCTGGAGATCAAAGGCAATAGAGGAGCAAAGGGGAGGAGAGCAGCGCCTGATCACATCATAAGAGCTTCTGGATCCAGCTACAACTGAGAAGAAACTCCAGGACTTTGAGGCCTTAGGGACAAGAGTGCAGATAATGTTACTATACCTAACCCTAAATTTAAATAAGTAGAGCAGAATCACAGGCCATTGAATAAAAAGGTATAGCAAGAAAAGCAAATACAGTTTGCATTCTACAAAATGTTAGAATGGCATCATTAATATTTAAAAACAAAACCTTGCAATGTTTGTAAGAATGCCTCTCCAATTTGCTCAACTCTTCTGAAGACCACTTTGGGTTATCAACTGAATTCATGCCTTGTATAAGGATGTTACCTACCTAAATAGTGTTCCTGAGACATGCAAGAAACTCAGCCTAAAATACCTTTCTATTGTCCATGCCACAGGGCATGAAGTTCACAGCGTCCATCTCTTTGAGTTAAAGTCTTGAAAGTCTCCACTAAAAAGTACATGCTGTTGCTGAAACCGGTTTGGCTCAGTGGATAGAGCATCAGCCTTCGGACTGAAAGGTTCCAGGTTCGATTCCGGTCAAGGGCACGTACCTTGGTTGTGGGCACATCCCCAGTAGGGGGTGTGCAAGAGGCAGCTGATCAATGATTCTCTCTCATCGATGTTTCTCTCTATCCCTCTCTTTCTCTCTGTAAAAAATCAATTATATATATATATATATATATATATATATATATATATATATATATATATATGCTGTAGCCCTGTCTATAAACATTCACCGAGGTTCTACTAGAAGAGTGGTATGTTATCAATCATTAGCAACTTAGCACCAACTTATTAACCAGATTAATTCCTGCTCCCTGCGAAGGTTTTGGAGAAATGGAACAAGCAATTTCAAATAAAGGATAGGAGGAAGAAGTTGAAGTCTAAGAAGAGAGACCCGGATACTGTGCTGATTTGGGCGGGCCAGCTCCAAGGTCCTGGGTAGAAAGAAGTAAGAGGAGCAGAAAGAAAAGAAGAATGCCACTGAACCAAGAACAAATCTACCCAGCATTCCTATCTGCAGCCACCCTTTGCAGTAACAGTGTCAGCCTGGTTTACGGCGCACATCAGAGCAGGGCATGGGGCACAGCTCTGCAGCCTGTTCCGCACAAGCATAAGCTCCCCTTGCCATGCCCTGCATCCTGGAGGGGGCTGCCTCCGCCCAGAATGATGCTTTTCTCTAATTATTGCAAGTGTTTGCAGTCCCAGCCCTGCGTCAAGATGATTTTCAAGCCTGTTTCACATGGAGGGGCAAGAGCACACTTCCACTTGACACTTACACTTTGGGGAATGAGACAAGGGGCCTCGTTGCCTTCCACCCCAACTGTGCACCCAGCCACTGTCACACAGTCGCCGTCCTGACACTCAGGCTTGTCTTGGATGGGGCAGGAGACAGGGGACAGGAGGCTGCAGCTCAGGAAAGGACTTAGCAGCGGTTGTCCATTATTTTAATGATGGAGCTGCTGGAGCAAAGTCTCCACCGGAAACGGTGTGAACTGATCGGTTGTTCAGGTGGCTAGAGGCGAGGGCAATGGAGGAAGCTTCCCTTCTACCTTGAGAACAAAAATCCAAAATAAGACATCTTTAGCCTATTTCCGGCTACATTATTTACTTAAAAAAAAAAAAAGTACTGGGGTCAACGATAGGGAAGGCACTGTTATGTCCCCCTACTGCTTTCCGGACGGGGTGACTTGGCAGGATGGCATCTAACATATTTTGACAAGAGAAAGTGACAAATCAGTACATCTCTCGTTAGAGCAGTGCAGAGAGGCTCGGAGGAAATCCCGCCTGGCCTCGGCGGCCTGTCTTACCTGACGAGGACAGGGAGCTGATGCCCACTTGGGTTTCGCCCGAACTCTTCTGCCGCTTTCGCTCTGGCCACCGGCTGCGGCCGAGGCTCACTGTGGGCCTGTGAGCTGCCTCCCCCTCCGCAGAGCCCCGCACGCCCTCCGTGAGCCCGGGGGAGGGTGCACATTCCACTCATCACAGGAGCGTAGGAGATTGTCAGCAGCATGCATTTCCTTGGGCTGTTCTTGCAGTGTTCCCCCTCAGTGACATAACACAGGTGCCGAGCAGAGAGGGGGCAGCCGCCTAGGAGCTTTTAATCTGAGGCACCATCTGCCGCCCAGCTTTCCTTCCCAGTGGTCTGCTCCTGCCCAAAGTATTTGCCTAGGTTCCGCTATCCTGTCTCCAAATGGCCTGCTAAATGCAAGCGGCATCCATGGGAAGGGCAGCACATTAGTAGTCCTTTGCTCAGTCAGACAACAAACAGTTAGTGGCTGCCAGCTCTACCCAGCCAGGCCTCTGCTGCGCCAGAGGAAGCCGTGGTGGCAGCAATAGACGCTGGGAGCCTATCTCGGGCCTTTCTTATCGATCCATTTGTTCTCATCTTCAGCTACTTTCACTCCTGCAGGAAGCCTTCCATGAGCCCATCTCTGCCTGAAGAACCCTCTCCCCTTCTCCCATGATGCTGTATGGGTACCCCTGTCCACTCACCACCGAAAGGGAACTCCCCATTCCCAGAATCTCAAATAGGGGCAAAGGTTAGTTTATGTCTCAAGATCTCCTTTCATTTTCATTTTTGTTGTCAAGGACCACATAAAAATAACTTTTAAAACGATGTTTTCTGCACTACTCAAAGGAGGGGGGAAATGGATATTCATTGCACAAAAATCTCAAAAAAAAAACAAACCAAGTCTATATTGCTCATAACGGCAAATGTGGCTGTGGGTCATGAACCTGATCTACATCACTGAAATCCATAAAAATGGTTACAACTTGTTCATAAAACACCTCTTGCGAGACTTTGCGTGAGAAACTTTAGATGGTAATGAAACATCGGGTAATGGGGAGAGCTAATTAACTCTGGCCAAGGTGGGACAGGCTCCTCTTTATTACCTTAATCAGGCATGGTACCCCTCCACACGCGCCTCCACTCACGCCTCCTTCACCCGAGGACTAGACCTGTTGCACCCTCTTATGTCTTGCACACTTGGGGTTACCCATTAGAATAATTTCGATGAATAGAGCTTATCATTGAGAATCAAGGTTCCCAAGTCCCATGTTCAAAATTTGAAATTAAAGCCAGACCTATAAATCATAATGAAAGATGTGAAATGAAAGTGAAACTAAAGAGAAAAAAATTATCCAACAGGTTAAGAAAACCCTTTTATGTCTAGTTTATCTCATAAAATATGGAGTCTTGGGGAAATTCATAGTATCTAGATTCCGAAAGCCCTTTTTATTCTTTCTCCTCCTTGCATTTTTTTTTTAATCCTATGTTCTCAGGTTTCGCGGATCCATTAGCCATTAGGATTACCATGGTATTCAGTATCAGCTTGAGGTCTTGACACAAAAGTAGAGACCATTTTCCAGCATGGAGAAACGTTTGATAAGTGCTGACAAAATCCATTTGCACATCTCCAAGCAGGGCTAATTTTGAGATGATAAAATAAAATAAGATTACTGCGTATCTAGGCTTCATAGTGACCCACTGGATTTCACAAAATAATTCAAAGGGAGGTAGGGAAATCCACCACTTACTCACTGTCAAAGGCATATTATGAAGCATCGCGGCTAGTGAGGAGTTAGTAGGTTCATCTGTGAAAACGTGGCTTCCTCTGGGTTTCCCCACCCCAGTCTTCTGCTCAGTACTTACTCTGTTGACAGTTCCCTTTAATGCCTAAGGATTGTTTCAGTCATCTTGAAACAGGAAAAGTAATTAGCATGTATTAGTAACGAAAGGTGTAGAGACATGGATGCTGTAATTATATATCATGATAAAGGATATACAATAATTCAATGTCCTAAAAGGCAGCTTGCCTGAACGCATGTAGGA